TCTGGGGCCCATGCTAGATTCTGTGGTCAATGTTAGATTATGTGGTCCACGTTAGACTACTTAGAGGCCGTCGTGATATAGATATCGTAGTGTGGCGACAAATAGAACAAATAAACGCACACGCACACGTACGTACGCACACAGAAACGCACGCACACACAAACACACACACACAAAACACACACACACACACATTACTTTCCTCATTGTAATTCCGAGCTAGATATTTTACAGGCAAGGTTTCCTTTTCAAAACGACGCAAGTATTGTTGAACTATTGGAGTTACAGTAGCCATAGCGTTGTGGGAAGGTGTGGGAAGGTGTGGGAAGTAGCAGATATCAAGCACTTGTTTGACGGTAATAATACAGCTACATATTGCAATCAAACAAACAAAATTAGCATGCATTTTTATTAAATAGGGCCACGGGTGGTGCAATTGTCTAAGATTTTCTGGATGTTTATTCGAATAAAAGGTTCGTTCAAGTTATAATTGCTCTATCAACACAATACTTATGTTAGTGGGCTGCACGACTAAATCGTCATTTGGATCTTTAATGTCGTTAATCTCATATTCCATAAAACGATCTGTACTGCAATACGTCGAGCTAATTACCTCATTTCGATTTCATAAATTCATAATATTCCTAATACACGCTCGAAATAAGTACAAGGCGAAGCGTTTAAATACAATATAACATAAAAAATATTAACTGGCTTTGGAGTAGCTTGTTAATAGGACATATTTAAACCCACGCATATATGACATTAACTTGTATAAAGTTTAATAAATCTCATATCCACAATAAACAGGTTTCCTTAGTGACATCGCCGCCATATAACTGGAATATTGCTGACTGCGGCGTAAAACTAAGCTCACTTTGCTGCATCGGACCATCCAACGACACAGAAACGCACAACCGGCTCACATCTCAGATGGCAAAACTGTCCCTGTCAAAAACAAAGCAGAAACAGGCGACTGGTCACACATGAGCGTCATTCAAAGACATCCAGTAGCCAGCGGTTGTGGCAACATCATTGTATTCATCTGCTATGCTTACATTATTGATTAATTAATTGTGGAGCATGCGGCGCGGTGTTTGCTTTTCAATAAAGATAGCTTCGTCGGTCCCGTATACATCAACCCAAACAACGAGCAGAGTTACAATGTAAGCTGCACAATAGAAACAGGCTAGAGACTGTAGTCATCGACCTGGTGCCTGCATTCTTGATGAAGCATTCCATCCACCTGTCTTTATTCCTCATTCACTGACTGAGACTGTCTATGTGTTTACCGTTATATAACGGGTGATTGTGTCGTAACGTACAGTCGTTTTATTTTTCATGATATGCTCTAGAAAAAACAGTGTTTTCACGCAATGCAACTTGGCTAAATCTGCTGGCTGTGATTTCTGTTTACCAAGATCGACCGTTAATGATGATGATGACGACGACGACGACCATGATGATGATGATGATGATGATGATAGTTTGAGGGGGTGTAGAACAAGTCGCTTAGGGTTGACATCGTTCATGAGAATATTCTATGCATTATTGGTTCTTTTTCTCCAAACGTCTTCAGAAGCTCAAGGTATCCTTGTGTGATGCAAAATATGTTCCATTGCTAAGAAAGAATCAGACAGAACGATATTCTTAACTAGTGGAAGGGCAAGACATTCTTACAATCATTTAAAAACGACGTGTTTGTGGAAGACATACTTCTGATATCTCCATGTTGCATTTACCTGCCTCTTTTCATCGATTACATCTGAACGCCGATCGATAATGTGTTTGTTGCTCCTGTCGACTCGCCCTTTAAATCAACATTTGGAAAACCACAGTATTCCATTTGGAAAAATATAAACTCGACTTTTCAATTATGCCTCTTTGACGTAATGACCTCCACCCCTGGTCCTCATGTCCATGTGTTGTCAAGCAACAACGGTGGATCCATACCGAAATGTCGATTCATAACAGAGCATAGAAATGTATCCACAAAAAATCTTGCCGTTACTGTTTCTTAACAGATATAAAAATAAACGACAATCAAGCAGTTCGTGTGTTATATAAATCTGTGCGTTTTCAATTCAAACAAAGCCAAGCTGTACCCTTGGATCATAATTGGATGAAGGATAATGTCACCGAGTTGTATATGAATTAAGCTAGGATATGCCATGGTATAGACGGTAATCTCGTATGTCGTATGATATATATCATAATCACATATACCGTCGTGAAAGGTAATTCAGTGATATAATATAATTACATACACCACCGAGAAAGGTAATTCTAGGATATATTATAATGATATAGCACCGAAAAAGGTAATTCTAGGGTATATCATGATCACATATACCACCGAGAAATGTAATTCTAGGATATATTATAATGATACACACCACCGAGAAATGTAATTCTAGGATATATTATAATGAAATACCACCGAGAAAAGTAATTCTAGGATATAAATTATAATCACACATACCACCCGAGAAAGGTAATTCTAGGATATATTATAATGAAATTCCACCGAGAATGGTAATTCTTGGATATATCATAATCACATATACCACCGAGGAAGGTAATTCTAGGATATATTATAATGATATACCACCGAGAAAGGTCATTCTTGGATATATCATAATCACATATACAACCGAGAATGGTAATTCTATGATATATTGTAATCACATATTCCACCGAGGAAGGTAATTCTATGATATACTGTAATCACATATACCACCGAGAAATTCAAGGATATATCATAATCACATAGAACCCGAAAAGTAATTCTGGTATTACATATTATAATGATTTACCATCGAGAACGGTAATTCCTGGTTATGGTTTAATCATATACGCCGAGGAAGGCAATTCTGGGACATTGTATAATCCGATACCACCGAGAAAGTAAATTGTAGGAGATAGCATACTCTAATATTACAAGAAGACTAATTCCAGCACACATCATTAGACCAAAAGTATTATTTATTTATTCATATCACTACCATAATAGTCTCCAAGTTAAAGATGTATAACATCATACAAGTCTTTATGTACATTTTATAACGAATATGTCATACAGTGTAAACGTAATATTATGAATATAACATTAACTCTACTATGTAATCTCAGAAGCAGTCTGACTATATACCTACCAGTACCTTCAGACTTGCCGTCCTTGAACCAGTCTGCGTCTGTATTCATTATGTCACATAAAGTATACACTTCGTTCTTAGTGAGAGTATGCAAAAGGTCATCTGTGTTAAAGTATTCTCTTATTGGTTTTAAGGTTAATTTGGCAGTAACGTGCTTTTAAAGTTGTTCAGCTGAAAATGCCAAACTAGAACAGTTGGCACCGCCATGCCAGGGGCGTTGATTAACTCTTGTTCAGGTTTTTCTAATTAATTAACTTCCGGGTTTAATGATAATTCGTTTGTGTCAAGTCAGCTGAAATGGCCGCACACGGCGATATAAGCTTAAAAACGAGAAGAGGGACAACGTTAATACGTTACATTTCTAAAGGACTTCCTGGGGCGGTGGGGTAGCCTAGTGGTTAAAGCGTTGGCTCGTCACGCCGAAGACCCGGGTTCGAATCCCCACATGGGTACAATGTGTGAAACCCATTTCTGGTGTCCCCCGCCGTGATGTTGCTGGAATATTGCTAAGAGCGGCGTAAAACCAAACTCAGTCAGTCAGTCAGTAAAGGACTTCCTATTCGCAAGCCTGACCTACGGGTTGCCAGATATGACTGTGAGTAAATGATTCTTCCCACTCAAATGTATCACTCTGCTACAAGGTATACACAAATTGATCCCCAGTCGATGACAATGCTGCTATTCATCTGTTGAGGTAGAACCTATGACAGTCACTTAGATATGGAAAGTCTGGCGTTTCGTGCTCACTAAGAACTCTGAGCATCAAAGCTGACAATCCCGATCTGGATCAAAAGGGTCTTGTGCAGTGATACGGTGCAAGCCATGCATGTGTGGTAATCAGTGAGAAATATTCCTTTATCAAGATATAGATCATGTACACTTTAGAAATTGAGAACCGGTATTCATTTATTCTTCAGTAACATTGTAGGTATATATCATCGTCAATCATCAACATCATCATCATCATCATCATCCCCGTCCTCCTCATAATCAGCATCATCACCACCACCACCACACCATCATCATGATCATCAAGATCATCCCCGTCCTTCATATCATCACCACAACCACCATCATCACCATCACCATCATCATCATCATCATCATCATCATCATCATCATCATCATCATCATCATCGCGTTATCAGTCCGAAATTTAGGTGGCCATTGAAAAAGATTAAAACAGATTCAATGGATCCCTACATATTTACATTCCTACATTATAAATTACATCATAAAGTCCTTCAAAGCAAACATGATTGTGAAGGTTTCAAATGTATTACGCACTACTACTGATGTTTTTCAAGATAAACTGGCAGGCAAAAAAACATACATCAGAAAATAAATGTGGACAAAAATGCCAACGTTATAAATTCGTTACTAGGCTGACCATGAAGATGTTTAGTGATATAATGCATCTAATACCGCCTGATCCTTGCATGAAATGCATCACAACTTCTTGTGTGTCTCGTTGTATAGCCATCAAACATGAATCTATACTTTCTTTGCAAGGCACTTTAAGTTTCAAAGCTAATTCCTCAACAACCAATATTATAAGACACCCGTAAGTTTCGAACTCTTGGTAATACCGAAATTGGATTGCAGACGCGTACAAATACCGTCCTTATTCACTGTATGTTTGTTTAAGTCAAACTTTCCGCAAGAATCTGAGTTAGATCCGACTGGTAGAGTTAAGGAATCATTGATTGCAGGCAAACATTTGCTTGTGGTGGGATTTCTGGGTTTAATTAACAGCGAAAGCACTGTAGACTCGCAGGATTTCATTTCTGAAAGTGAAGTCGTATGGAAGAGTTCGAAAAGTTTATAAAAGTGACACTTTCCTACCTTGTGCTGTGATAACATTGGTCAGCAGAGATGTAAGAAACAGATGCAATCGAGTAATGTCCATCCTGGATTGGTCACTAATATTCCGTATTCCGTGAAAATTCCGATCCCGACTTTAAATACCTGTGCCTCACCCGCTGAAAGCTCAGCTGAAATATCTCATTACCCGGACCATTGCCGTGAGCCACCGATCTCAAACACTGCTGTAAAGCGCTGCACGGGTTTATATAGAAGTTGCCTCGGCGTATTGATCGGAACGAAATCCACTTGTGACGTGTCGGAGAGAAGCACAAAATACGCTCTACCAGGATTCCGCGCAAACTTTTACTATCAAACGCTCTCTCTCTAATTCATTTCAATCATATGCTACGAGCACAATCGGCCTTAAATCCCCCGGGCTAGTTTTCATGGGCGAAACTACTCGTAAATACGTCCTTTGCTTCAAGCAGGGATGACTGAATGGGATTCTTCTATACGGGGAGGGTAGACAAATATTATCCTGTATTTGCCAATAACGATCTTTGGACAGAGTAAAATCATCATTAGACATGAGCCGGGCTGATGAAGTTTACCGGAGCCTGCGACACGGGCGTCAAATTAACGGCGATGGATTAACTATCGCTTCATAGCTGTTTATTTATTTAAGGCTCTGTGTACACCAAGGGGCAGAGCGACGTTGTCAGGTCAATGAATTGGTAGTAATTCTTGTGAGAGAATCGTATTTTATTTCTGACAATTGCTGCTATTTGATTCTGTTGTTGGCAGTCTGTGACTGGTCGTTTAGGTATTTAACATGTATTTACATCGATCTTGATGGTACGCGAAGGTGACGTGTCAAAAATGGATCTAATCATATTCCCACCTCACATGGCATCTTATGTACGGTCGCGTTTTGAGTAATATGAATAGTAGAAGTTGTAGTAGTAGCAGCAGTAGTAGTAGAGATGGTGGCGGTAATGGTAGTAGTAGTAGTAGCAGCAGGAGCAGTAGTAGTAGCAGCAGCAGCAGCAGCAGTAGTAGTAGTAGCAGTAGTAGTAGAGATGGTGGCGGTAATGGTAGTTGTAGTAATAGCAGGAGCAGTAGTAGTAGTAGCAGTAGTAGTAGAGATGGTGGCGGTAATGGTAGTTGTAGTAGTAGCAGGAGCAGTAGTAGTAATAGCAGCAGCAGCAGCAGTAGTAGTAGCAGCAGTAGTAGTAGTAGTAGTAGTAGTAGTAGCAGCAGCAGCAGTAGTAGTAGTAGTAATAATAATAGTAGTAGTAGCAGCAGCAGTAGTAGCAGTAGTAGTAGCAGCAGTAGTAGCAATATAATGGAATCGGACTTGTGTTGAAACGCCAATTAAATCCGGTTTAGAGAACAGTCCGGATTAGACAGACACCCTATTCTAGCAAGAGTTACATCCCTTGGTGTCTGACACGCAATATGATGAGTCGACATGGAAGATACCGTATACAGTAATGTATTCCAAGTAACCCTGATATAAAAGCACATACATATAAATGTCTACACAAATTGTGAAGTCATCATCAACATCAGCTGCAACTCCGGCACACCCACCAGGTCGCTTCAAACACTTCAATGTAAAATAAGGATGCTTTGAAATCGCTCAAACCCTAAGTCATAACACATCGTTTTGTCTCTGATATATGTATCGTTGTTTGGTCCGTTCGCACCCAGTTAGTTCATATCTTACATTCATTGATTATCTGGGTATGTCTTGAATTTGCTCGAGTATGAACACCTTACCCCTTGTGGTAACACGCAACGTGTAGTTCTTAACACGATTTTTTTACAGTCAACAACGGTTATAACGAAGTCGAAGTATTAGTTCGTTATAACCGCAGGTCGTTACACGCATTTCGACACTAAAGTATACAGTAAGTGGTCGCGGCCTAAACCCGTTCGTAATATCTGTCATATTGTTATAATCGTGTTCGTTATAAGCGTAGTTTAATGAGTGAGTGAGTGGGTGAGTTTAGTTTTACGCCGCTTTTAGCAATTCTCCAGCAATATCACGGCGGGGGACACCAGAAATGGGCTTCACACATTGTGCCCATGTGGGGAATCGAACCCGGGTCTTCAGCGTGACGAGCGAACGCTTTAACCACTAGACTACCCCACCGCCTGTATTTTAATGTGTACAAACTGCCAACTCATCTTTTCATATAGTTATGACATAGGCTGCCTAGTGGTCTAAGGCATGCAATTCGTTGTGCGTAGTTGCGTCCCTTAGACGAAGCAGAAACCTATGTTTTATCCCCGATCCTCCCAGATTATGTTTCCAGATATGTCAGCACCATACTATCACCTGTAGGTTTCATGGTATCACTTTGTTCTTTTCTCCATCATCAACAAGACAAGCCTCCAGGCCAAGTAGTTCAAGCCTTCGCTCCTAACGATGAAGACCCAGGTTCGATTCCACACATGGGTACTAACTGTGAAGCCCATTTCTGGTGTCCCTCGCCGTGGTATTGCTGAAATGTTCCAAAGATGCAGTGTAAAACTGCTCGTAACGATGAAGACCCAGGTTCGATTCCACACATGGGTACTAACTGTGAAGCCCATTTCTTGAGTCCCTCGCCGTGGTATTGCAGAACTATTCCAAAGATGCATTGTAAAGCGCGACCCGTCCACTCACTCATTCATATGCCGTGCTTTAACAGAAATACCATTGAAAGCGGTGTTAAACACGGCTCATTCGTTCCCTCCTGTTTTATCCCAAATGTAATGCTATTTATATTCGGCAACTAACATCATCGATAATGAAGCCTGTGATTGTGTTTAACTGCTTTAGTTCAATGTGTTTTATGTTTGATGCGACCATTACCCTAGTGTGATGACTCCGTCGAGATCCATTCCTAAGAAACGATTTTCACTATCGATGCATGCCTCACATCCGAATAAATAAAGGTGTTCGTATTAATTCAGCGAAGAATCACTTGAACCCATCGACGTAGAACGTGAACGAGTCAGCTGTCAATCATGTTTCCCTTAAACAGAAACCAAACTATTGAACACAAAAAACTAAAAGTGCTAAATGCATTTCTTTGCAATTGATAATAAAACACATGATAAAACAGTAAAACATTTATGTCTTCAGCAATTTCATATTTAACGTTCATGTTTAGGTCAATAATTATTATGTGTAAGTCATTCTCGCTTGTTAATATACTCATGCTAATAATGGTTGTCACCCCACTCCCCACCCCAACCCCACACCCACCTCACACACCCCACCCCACACACCCTCTCCAATTAAACAAATTGAAGGGGGTGACAACCATTATTGGCATGAGTATATATGTCCACGGCGTTTGAAATAATTTGTATATTGGTTTGCAAAGTCAACTGTAGATCACTATGTGTTTATATGTGTTTTTTAACGTGGCACCTAGCTATATTCCATTTATATGACACAGGTATGTATATGATCGAGTCTCTACCGGATAATCCAGTGATTGATATCGCGGGCATCGAAAACTGGAGTGGAACCCAAATGGGTAAGCATGATACTTCAAATGTGAAAAATAGGGTTTGCATTTATGAGGTTATCAAAGCTAACTTCACTAAACGGTAATCGTTCTTTAAGGATGAAATGCTCGAAGGATGAGGCATATGATTCATCAATAAAGTGGGCTACAGGTATGTTCAGCAGCACAGGGAAACACAAAGAATGGATTTCACACACTGAAATCATTTTCATAATCGAACTCAAGTTTACGGCGCTAGAAATGAATGTTTTCACAAATTTTCTAGAAGGTAATGTGCTAGAATGCTGTCATCCTCTACTACGTCATATGCTACAGTAACTTCTATTGTCATCCTCTACTACGTCATATGATAAACTCCTATAGTCATCTTCTACTACGTCATATGCTACAGAAATGTCTATTGTCATCTTCTACTACGTCATATGCTACAGAAACGTCTATAGTCATCTTCTACTACGTCATATGCTACAGAAATGTCTATTGTCATCTTCTACTACGTCATATGCTACAGAAACGTCTATAGTCATCTTCTACTACGTCATATGCTACAGAAACGCCTATAGTCATCTTCTACTACGTCATATGCTACAGTAACGTCTATTGTCATCTTCTACTACGTCATATGCTACAGAAACGTCTATAGTCATCTTCTACTACGTCATATGCTACAGTAACGTCTATTGTCATCTTCTACTACGTCATATGCTACAGAAACGTCTATAGTCATCTTCTACTACGTCATATGCTACAGTAACGTCTATTGTCATCTTCTACTACGTCATATGCTACAGAAACGTCTATTGTCATCTTCTACTACGTCATATGCTACAGTTACGTCTATTGTCATCTTCTACTACGTCATATGCTACAGAAACGTCTATAGTCATCTTCTACTAGCCCCTATGCTACAGAAACGTCTATAGTCATCTTCTACTACGTCATATGCCACAGTAACGTCTATTGTCATCTTCTACTACGTCATATGCTACAGTAAGGTATTTTGTCACTATCCACTACGTCATATGCTACAGAAACGTCTATAGTCATCTTCTACTACGCCATATGCTACAGTAACGTCTATTGTCATCTTCTACTACGTCATATGCTACAGAAACGTCTATTGTCCATCTTCTACTACGTCATATGCTACAGTAACGTCTATTGTCATCTTCTACTACGTCATATGCTACAGAAACGTTTATAGTCATTTTCTACTACGTCATATGCTACAGAAACGTCTATTGTCATCTTCTACTACGTCATATGCTACAGAAACGTCTATAGTCATCTTCTACTTCCTATGCTACAGAAACGTCTATAGTCATCTTCTACGTCACGTCATATGCCACAGTAACGTCTATTGTCATCTTCTACTACGTCATATGCTACAGTAAGGGATTTTGTCACTATCCACTACGTCATATGCTACAGAAACGTCTATAGTCATCTTCTACTACGCCATATGCCACAGTACCGTCTATTGTCATCTTCTACTACGTCATATGCTACAGTTACGTCTATTGCCATCTTCTACTACGTCATATGCTACAGTAACGTCTATTGTCATCATCAACTACGTCATATGTTACAGTTACGTCTATTGCCATATTCTACTACGTCATATGCTACAGTAACGTCTATTGTCATCTTCAACTACGTCATATGCTACAGTAACGTCTATTGTCATCTTCTACTACGTCATATGCTAC